CTGTCTTCGTTTGTCAGGAGAGTTTCTGGACACTCTATACTATATGAGTATAATCAAATATTATTATTATTGTTTTTTTTAACATTTATGTTAAGGAAATTTATGTTAATCATTGATTTATGTTATTTTATTCACAAATCTCTGAAAATCTTTTATGATGTTTGTTAATAAAACTGTTTCTTCAGCACATCTTAAGTTGTTTATAGTCTTTACATTTATTGAAATTCCAACTGACTCATCTTTTGGGATCTCTTAAAACGCATGGATAAGAGAATACAATCCTTGCCTCACGCCTTTTTTACGTTTATTTTTTCTAATACGGTGTTTGGGGTAATAATCTGAGCTTTTGCACTTCGGTAAAAATTATACAATAATTTTTTATCTCTTGCAATATCATAGACGTCCTGCCGTTAAGCAAAGACGTCCTAGTGCACATGATGTCATTTTTATATTAATACATTTATTGTGGACTTCTGTAAACTATTGTGAAATCTCACTGGCGTCACTGGTACCCAATCCATTACGAAATCCAAATCGCTTATCAGATGTGTCAGTCACGCATTTGTTATGTATTCTGGCAAGGACGAAAATTTCTAAAAGTATGTGGCTCATTATACTCGGGTGTAAGCTTCAGCTGCTTGAGAGACAACGGTGGAAATAAGTCGTACTAGTTGTATAATCCCCGTCCTAGATAGGGTTTTAAACAGTTCTAACAGTACGTGCACAATGGATTTTTGCAAACAATTTTAGGAAGTCACTGTGCTTCAATAGCTTGTTTAATTTCGAGGATTATTATTTCTGAGATCTCACTACTCTCACTTTATCATCGAGTTAGAATCTATGGAGAAGCTATGAGCATATTAACGTGTGTATTAAAAACGGCGTTAGTAGGTGTGGCTAACGATTATACCAATATGGCGGTGGGATCAGGGCCAGACTCAATACATAATATTATAACTACTATACAAATATGACTAGTTATTCAGAAGATTTAATCATAATCTAAACAGGTGCAATACATTTTTAATAAACTATGATTTATTTATCCCGCGGTAAACACTAAAAACGCGATATATTATACATACATAAAGATAAATTATTACAGTCAAATAACACGTTGTATCTGAAAGGGAGAATAATATAAATAATATTTTAAAGGGTAAAATGAATATACGGTATGAAATAAAAGAAATACGTTCGTTTTACAACTTATATAATTGATCACTACAAATTAACTGACACTTGAAAATTTGGTCCAATTAACAAAGAAAATTTATTATTAAAAAAAAAACAAAATTGAATATCTGCCGAATATCACAATAGAAATACTGTGTAGAAATAAAAATAATGGTGTTGCAGTAGTTAACAAGAATATATTACCTGTGTGATATAAGCTATTGGAACAGCAGTGTCGTTCAAACGAATAGAAGAACTCGTTCTTTGTTTTCTTTTGGAAATTTAAAAATACAATTATATGCATCACTAAGTATTAATAACAAATTTATATTTTAAATAAAACATATGATTATTGAACTAAAAAATATTATAAACAGCTTACAAATTATTTATTAGTATCTTTATATTCTGTGTATTCATTACTTACATTTTATTGGAAGTGGATGTTTTAATTGCTATTTTGGAAACTTTTAAAAATATTCAATAATGACTGAAAAATTAATCGAGAAACTTTTTTAAGTTATTGTAAGATTTTTTATGAATACTATAATTTATTCTCTGAAGTACGGGTCATTATTTTATTTACATATTTGTATATTAACCTGTGGAACCTTATTCCTGAAGATTTTTTATTAACATTACTTCTGTTATTGTAACTACGTTGAGAATAAGAAACCATTATTATGCACTATCACAATATAATATTACGGTTTCTATAAAAGTATTATAAAACTTAAAGTATTCGAAAAACAACAAACGTAAACAATGATACACGATATGTCAAAATGATCACAACAATATTGCCGAAGTGAGGTCGTTTTTAGTCACGTGATGCCCTCTCCATAGATTTTAACTCGATGCTCTTTATGTTAAAATTATCTAGTCTTGGTCATTGACGAGTTGTGATATCGTAAGCGTAATAAAAAAAATGGACTAAATATTGCACTGTCTTGATTCTTTATGTTTGTCATTCTATTATATTTGTTCCAATACTGTAATAAATAACTAGTTATTCAACTATACATATCTATATATGATATATTTTATTATATATGATTAAGTTACTACGGTGGCAAATGTGCTAAGTGTGTAGATATTCAGTAGATAATTGTTACAAAAGATTCACCTTAAAACTTTGATTTTGATTTATCTTTTTTCTTTTCCTTTTTATTTATCGATATATTTCATATCCCCTTCACATTCTAGTGAGACCACATGTTATAATCCACAAAGAAACTAAGTTCCTGTAGCTGGATGTATACCATGTATCACAAAAAATTTATTTAAAATACTTTATAAAAGGTATATAATTAAACACCCAATCTGGCTATATGCCAATCACAAAACGTTTTTGGAATCTATATAACATCATCAATGTGTCTATTTGTACATGTTTTGAGCCACTAAATATTTGGGTAATTTAAATTTAGGTATATTTAGGTTTACATTATGTTATGATATCGCATCGCCACCATTGATACGTCTTGATGCCCAGCTGACTTCATACAATCTTTATTGATTTGCGTTGATATGTTTTTAATTTTCTCCCTTTTCATTTTGTATATCCTACTCATTTTCCTTATCATTTGCCAGGTCCAAACCAATAAAGCAAACAAAGAAGAGGAGCAGCGCAGCCTCATTCTCCGAAAATTATGGAACTAGATACAATTACATGATCACTATAATAAATATCTGCCAATGGTGCATTTAAAAACAACTCAATTTATTAAATTTTCATACACATTGGAAAAATCTTCGATATTACTCCATTTGTTTCTACACTATGTTTCTGTGCAACAATCCTTATATGTAGATATTGGTGTGTTTACCCAATATACGTTGAATTGTAGTCTTAACAATTTATTTTATAAATAACATCTGGCTGATAATCTTTATTAACATTGGGTTTAATTTTGAAAAATATTTTTCAGATATTTTTGATGATTTATGACCAACATTAATATCATATTTAGCCAACATTTTCGACATTTGTTCAGAGAAGCCATTAATATATGGTAAGGATGTGCAGTGTTTGTTTGATTAAGCGACATTACTATTAATATTGGTAGATATGGTTTGGGTTTGTTTTAAATTTGTATTCGAATTAGATTGATTTCTGATAATGCAACTTTTTTTTTTTAATTAGATATTTGTAAAATTTTGTGGAATAATTATTTTTTTCTAAGATATCTTTAACTTTTTCCAGGTTTTTAGAGGGTATTGTGGGCTAGATGGCTTAATTGCTCTGACTTCTAGCTGAATTATATTGTGTCTTACTTTATATCTTAGGTCTAATGCTTAGAACAACGTAGAAATGCTTGGAACAGTTCACAAAACACAGAAAACGAATATTACACACTTTTTAAAAGACACCATAAACTGTGTTTTAAAAAAAGTTAAAATTTTAAATAAACATTATATAAGAACGCATTAATGTTGTTAATACATATGCACAATTTTGAAAAAAATCAATCAATGTGCAAACGACTTATGGATAGACTAAATAAAACAAAAATAGCACAGCTTTGGTTTGAAAGTAGAAGCCAAATTATCGAACAAAAGAGGCAAAGTTGGAATTCAGTAAATTAAAGAAACTATAGAAGGAACACATTAGTGCGACGAAGTTAAAAATACTATATGAAAATATTTTTTAACAAGTAAAAATAAAAAAGTTTGTAAACAAAGATTACATTTAAAAAGAAATATAAATACAAAGGAAAGAAGTACAACATCTTCTTTTGTTTCGATCAATTTTTTTATTATTAGCACTTTTTGTTTAAAATAATAGTAAATAATTCATTGCATTTTTTTTGTATTGCATATTTTATTTATATTTTGATTATTGGTCTTGAATTGTTTACAAAAATTAATTTCTAGTAAATCCGTGAAAAATATTTTCTTGGCAACACTGTAAAAAGTTCACGCTCTACCGGTAAGGTATGGAAACAATGCAATTTAAATTTCAATATCTTTTACTACAGGTACGTTGGCAATCAATATTGCAATTCTGAAAGTAGAGTTGCCTATGTATTAGTTTATCTTTATAATATGGAGACCATTATCGTATTGTGTTTGATTAAATTTTTGTAGCGTTTATATTAGTTTGTTTTTTAATTATAAATAATGTACTTTATTCAAAAAGCGGAAGATTATTTTGATTTAGTTTACGATCTAAGTGGTTCTTTGTTTATCTAGCAATCTCCAAATGTTTTTATTGTACAGTCTTTTGTACTGTTGTAGATAATTAAAAAATAAACTCAGTAACAACCAAGTTAAGTTTTTTAATACACTATAACAAAGAAGTAAGTAGAAATGCACAAATAAACATTTTTATGGTATTTTTAATGAAAAAGTGAGCAGAAATACGATCTTATATACATAATATACGATGTAGTAAAAAGATAATCTGAAAAAATCATTTTGCATTTATCTCTTACTCTTTCTTTTGTTAATTTTTTTATTTTGACCTTTCTGCTGTTTTTCTTCAGCTTATTACTCCATTTATGTTTTCATTTTGTACATATTTTTGGACTTTTTTATTTTTTGTCTTCTGAAGCAATGGGGGGACACGTTTGACAATCACACAAAGGTAATTAGCTGTAATAAAAAATTTAAGCCAGCAAATACATTTATTTTTTGTATTCAATATAATGTGCAATTATACTTTTATAATATGTAGATACTTATTAAATATTGTTAGACCTATTGGTGTGCTATTGCCATTCTCTTTATTTTTTTAATAACCAAGCTTCTTATTCTGGTATTCTGAAATTTCTTATGGAAGAGAAGTTCTAGAAGAAAAAAATTGAAACTGAGTACCACGCCTATACCATATATAATGTAAGCCGCATAGCAATCCAGAATAGCTGCACTTGCAAAGTTTGCTCCTTGTCCAAGACATTCTGGTTTTTTGGTGTAAATGCGTTGTATGAAGCGATTTTTAAATTCCAATCTCGGCTAGTTTGATAAGTCTGGAAAACATAAGAAGAATAGCGTAATTGTAAAAAATATTAATTTTATTTTAAACTTATTTAAAATGTTCAAGTAGGATCGCCGAATTTAATGCATGTGCATATGCAAAATAATCTTAATGCAAATTTTGGTCAAGAAAGAGTATTTTAGGGAACTTATATACACCATACAGAAAGAACAGCACAAAAAAGAGATCTATATCACAGCGGACATGCCCGTCAAACGGACGACGCACTACATCGCCAAATCCACCAGCCAATAACGCATATGGTTAGAAGAAAGCATACCAGCACGATGGAAGGAAAACATAATAGTGCCCATCCACAAAAAAGGGGACAAAACAAAATGCGCGAATTATAGAGGAATTTTACTCCTAAACACGGCATATAAAACCCTATCAAACATCATTCTTAGTAGACTAATCCCTTATGCTGAAAATGTCCTAGGCGAATATCAAGCCGGTTTTAGGGCAAATAGATCAACAATAAATCAACTATTCACGCTGAGACAACTTCTAGAAAAGGGATGGGAGTATAACCAAAGAATATAGACGCTTATAGAAGAACAGTTCAAATGGACGATTTGGTTAGGGTTTACACATGGTACAAAGAATGACAGGTATGATATTGCGCAGGCCACTCCCCCTACTGTCGACGTCATAATGAGAGTTATAATACATTTGTTTATAATTTGAATTTTATCAATGTTTAAACTTTTGACGTCTTTAATAAGCTTGTGGAAGATTTTAAGTGTTTTTTGTGAGAGTTAAGTTGATTTGTAGGCATTTTAGTAAAAAATAATTATTATTAAGGATATATTCAACTCTGTATGCGAGTTTTTTGAGTGATCGTGGCTTTGTAGGTATACCTACTTTATATAGGCAACAATTTGATCTTTTAGAAATTGTAAATTAGGTATGTTTAATTATTATTGAGTCAGTATTTAATACTCAACCATACCTATACCCATCTTGTATTTTTTAGGGGGGTTTTGCTAAAAATTGTTTACAACGTAAACATAAAATGCGTTGTGCGGTTGTAAGAATCAGACAGAAGGTGCCGATAAATCTGTTAGGTTTTATAGTTTTCCCAAGGACTCGGTAGTGGAAAAACTGTGGGTTATTGCTTGTTACCGTAAAGACAAATTTAATACTAAAACTTCAAGGATTTGTTCCAAACACTTTAAGCCGGAAGACTTTAAAAGAAATTTGCAGCATGAATTGCTGCAGTATGAATCAAAGAAAGGACCCAAACTGAAGGGTGATGCGATTCCTTCTCTTCATCTACCAAAATCAAAAAGCTTATCCATAAATCAACTTAAAAGGCAGGAAAGGTTTTCCAAAAGGGAGTCAAAGAGGATTGTGGAACAGATAATTACACAATCTAGGTGAACATTATTTTATTCTACATCTTTTGGTAGAAACACTTTTAAGTATTATGACATAAAAATAATATCTTAACATTTATTTTTTAGTTCTACAGCTGGAGAATCAGGTGTGGACTTGGTGTGTCAAGGACTCAAAACTGATTTACCTGAAATTATAAAATCAGACGGGTATGTAAAATGTTCTAAAATATGCTGTGATCAGTCGTCTGAATGAAAACATAATATTCTTAACTTTATGCAATATATATATATATATATATATATATATATATATATATATATATATATATATATATATATATATATATATATATATATATATATAGTAGATTAAAAATATGATTTTTGTTTTTAGATTAAATACAGATATGGAACCTGCACAAGATCTTGAACTTCAAAAGTTACGTGTCGAGAACAAAGCCTTACTTCAGCAGGTTAATGAATTAACAGAAATGAAGTCAGGAGTAGATAAGATATTTACCAAAAGACAGCTAAAAAGACTGCAAAGGCCCAAAGTTAAAACAGTATGGACTACTGAGGAAGTCTCCCAAGGTATTGCCATACATGCAGCTGGACCAAAAGCATATAAATTATTGCTGAAAAAAGGTTATCCATATCCTGCTGTTTCAACCCTTCGTTTATGGACTAAAAAAGTCAAAATTGTTCCAGACATACCTAATAAAACCTGTTCTAAAAATTTTAAAAAATTCTCACTTATCCGAATCTGAAAAAATATGTGTTGTTTCCTTCGATGAAATGAAAATTCGAAAAACCTATGCATATGACAAAGCAAATGACCATCTTTTAAAACCTTCCAACTATGTTCAGGTAGCAATGATGAGAGGACTACTGACATCCTGGAAGCAGCCAATTTATTTTGATTTTGACAGAAAAATGGAAAAATCAATTCTGTTTGACATAATTAAGGAAGTAGAAGAGGCAGGATTTCATGTCTGTGCTATTGTTAGTGATTTGGGAGGTGGTAACAGAGGCCTTCATAAAAATCTTGAAATAAATGAAGAAAAGCCGTGGTTTATAGGCCCTACAAATCATAAAATCCATGTTTTATGTGATGTACCACACCTTATAAAACTTATAAGAAATAATTTTCTTGATAATGGCTTTGTCTTTCGTGGAGCGGAAATTAATAAGAACATTATTTATAAATTACTAAAACTTACTTCTACATCAGATTTGACAATCTCATTTAATGTAAATGAAGAAATGCTAAATGTACGTAAAGAGCAAAGGCCAAAAGTAAAGTTAGCAACAAAGTTATTTTCAAATAACACAGCTCAAGCTATTAATGGGTGTGGAACACTAGGTTACTTTCAGGACGAAAGTTGGATAGAAACTGCTCAGTTTTTTAAATTGGTAAGCTAAATCTAAAAGTTTGTTATGTTTCTGTTCATACATTTTTTTGTTTTTTAGGTAAATGATTGGTTCGATTGCCTTAACGTTAGGGTACCCTATACAGATTCCCGAGAACGAGTACAAGGCTATGGGTTAAATCTAGACGTTCAAAATAAGATTATTGACGAGATGTCAGAAGCTATGAAAGCTTTAAAAGTTAAAGGAAAACGATCATTATTGCCTTTTCAGAAAGATATGTTATGTTGCTTTTGAAATATTCTAATTAAAACTATTCTTTGGAGCTAATAATTAATATAAATATTATCGTATTTTTGGCAAAATTTAATTCCGTTGTTATTTTTAGGAATAATTCAAACTAACAATTCCTTAAAAAATTTATTTGAGGATATAAAAAGTAAATTTAATATAAAATACATCCTTACATACAACTTAAATCAAGATGTACTCGAAATTTTTTTTGGCAATATTAGGAGGGTTGGTGGATTACATGACCATTCCGATGCTGTGGAATTTCGCTACCGGTTAAAAAACTATATTTTAGGGAGAAATAAAGGTTCTTTATCTGAAGCTGGCAATACAGACGCTGATAAGGTCATTGATGGACCAATTGATAACTTGGGAGAAGTTTTGTTAAGTGAAACATATTTTTTAAATTTATCCTGCGAAGCAGAAAAAGAAGAAGTGGATACAGACATGGAAGAACTAGACCAACTTCATTATGATGCACTGGAATATGTCAGTGGGTATATATGTAAGAAATTAGATCTGCCTGAAACTACGCTTACTTCCACTTACACGTGGATTGATCAAGTATCCGAAGGCAGTCTAAGGAAACCTCCAGAAGAATTGGTGGCAAAAATTAATGAACTAAATATTACTTTTAATAATTTCAATGGATCTGAACATCAATTAAAATCAGGCAAAAATTATATACAACAACTAATTGACTTATCGGAGAACATTGAATGTGATTATAAAATCAAACATCTTTTCTTCCGGTCTCGAATGTATTTTAGAATTAGGAAATTAAACCTAAAACTTAAAGAAGATATAAGAAATAAAAGAAAATTAATAAAAATTGTAACTTAAAACCTTGTGTTTAATTTGTTTTCCGATTTTAGTGCAGATAATTTATGATAAATTATTTTCTTCTGTTTACGTTTAGACAAAGACTTTTTTCCTCCTCGATACTGGCGCCAAATAAGACAATTCAATCAAAAGCTAGCTCGTAAAATTTATAAAGATTACCTTTCTAGGATTAAAAAGCGAAAAACACAAAAAAACTCCCAAATTTATTTTACAGATTTATTTTTTTTTTCACTGTATTATTATTTTTTCAATCAAAATAATAAAACACCTATATTTTAATAAATGCGGAATAGTTCAATACAAACTCTATTAATCCATTAAAATGATTTTTTATTGCCAATTAAAAATTAATTGTGTTCTGATTGCTAACGTTCTTACGGGAAATATTTAAAATCTCTCTCATTGTGACGTCATGCGCGAACTCGTCTCAATTTCTCTCTCGGGAGTATCATACCTGTTATTCTTTGTACCATGGGGTTTACACTTTAAAACACATCTGGCAGTCGGCTTAAACTATCTCATAAAAGATGTAGTTAGGGGAAAGTGGGAAAGGAGTACGAACGGAGCTATTTATTTAACTTTGCATCTACGATTGAAAAAAATCCCATGCTTTTTTTGTTTTTTTTTTTCACAATAAAATCTTTATTTTCAATATATTAAATTTTTAAATTTTGAATTTTGAAATTTAAAAAGGTATGATATTTACAATATTCAAAGCATTTATTTTTTACATTTTATAACTTTGAATTAAAAATAGGTTTGTTCCAACACAACGAAAAACCGTCACATTAGTACATTGTTTATCGGGTAGGAAAAGCTTAACATTCCTAAGCGACTGTGAAGATTGCTAAGTCGAGGCGCAAGCCGAGACTTAGCAACACAGAGTCCAGGAATGTGGCTTTTCCTACGAGGTAAACATACTATTTTTCCGCAAATCGTTTAAAATTCGACAGATATTGATTGATTTAAAAAAAAAACGCGATAATTTTATTCCCAAATAAATGGTGCTTTGAAATTCCTAATAAAATTACTTGGGTTACTATGGAAACGTATTGAGGTTGAATTGTCAAACTTTATGTAGAACACTAACAACTGTACGGAAATATCATTTCCTTACAGTAAGGAAGTCCTGACTTTTTCTTCAAGAAATTTTGACAGGAATGTCAAAATTTCCTGGCGATTTGCGGAAAAAAATTTTATTATACTGTTTTTCTGCCCAAAAATTAACGAAATATTTTTTTAAAATATTTCGTTAATTTTTGGGTTAATTCAACCAAAAATTTGATTTTCTCAGGACTTTTCATTAAGCTTTTTAGACATGTTTCCATTATTCTGCAGAAAAAATAGTGTTGTGTTTTACATTTTGTTATTTTATATTAAAAACAAAGAAGACATTATTAAATTTAGAAAATTTGGAAATATTTAATTCCGGTGATTGATGACTTTATTGGTTGAATTAATTTTATAGTTAATAAGAAGAGAGTTCTTCTTATTAACTATAATATTATTTGTAGATTTGTACCTATTTAAATTAAAAATTCGAATCATAATATTTTTTCTAATAGGATTCATTTATTAAAAGTTAAAATATTATTATTTTCTTTAAAAAATATTATAAAACGCAAAAATTTAATCCTATTCTACGGCCACGCGGCATTATGTGTTCGTAGTTCTCTGGCATTATACATAAAAATATCTGTTGCATTTGTTGCCCCACTCTTTCATATTTTAAAAGCAATAATAGCGTTGACATGACCGCTCCCTTCTCGATCCACCCTCTCATTCTTTTTCATAACGTGCGATCATCTTTTGCAAACTTTCAAACATAACAGTGAAAGATTCTTCTATAAGCGTCTATATTCTTTGGTATAACAGATCCATACACAATATTTTTAAAGACTTTCGACAGGCATATGATAGCGTAGAAAGAAGCCAAGTATGGAATGCCATGGCGGAGTTCTGAATACCAAAGAAACTGTGATGTTTATGTGAATTTATGAACCCCCAGAAAAGATTCTGGTGGTTTTATGGGTTTCAAAAAATAAAAATATTTCAAAAATTAACAAAGTTATGAAAAAATTTTGGGTTTTTTCGTACTTATTAAAAGTAAAGTTAAAATTAACTTTTATTTTTGAAGGACCAAATCTGACTAAAACTTTGTCACAATTTAATGGTTATAAAGCCGCACCCTATTGGTCCCAAGTTCAGATAAAGGAGAAGGGTTAGGCAATTTATTTATGTATAAGCAAATATTCTTACGCAATTTTAATGATATCCCTATAAGGCGATCCTTTTCTAATTGCAGTATATGGCTCCCTACATTTAAAAAGTGATACTTCCATCAAAGAACATTTTTCGCCTTCATCAAACGTTTTAGCTATTTCTTTATAAGCGGAGGAAGGATCCGTTTGAAAGGCGAAAAATCCATTTCGAATTTTTGCTACACCTTCTTCCAAAGACATAGATTTTTGTTTTTCTTTTGTAAATATTTTTTCATATGCAACTTTCACCAGAGGATCCGTAGACAACTAAAAAATAATAAGTAAAACTTCAAATTTAGAAACAGATGAGGTTGCTCAAAGAAAAGCACATCAGAAATAATAAGGTATAGATTGAGATCAATAAGTTTATCTATAATTATATTAATAACTAAACAAGAAGAACATAGAATAATGCCAAAGGAAAAATATAAAAACGAACCTTGAACATGTTCTCAATAAAACTATCATTTTGGACACCTAAATCCATTTTCGAATCAAATAAACCTTCTATGGTATTTGTACTGTCAGTTGTGCTTTGCAAAAGGGCTACGATATTAGCTGAATAAGCAGTAAATAAAAACATAACAGCTATTAAAGCAAAGACAAAGGTGATCCTTCCAGAAACACTTTTCGGTTCGGCTTCAGCCCCTTGCTCCGTAAGAATTCCTATTTGCATGATTAAACTGTCAAGAATTCTTGGCTGGAGTTGCTCAACTTGGTTGTTATGATCTATCTCTTTAAAAACTGGGTCATTTACTTCCCAAAGTGCTATCAGGTACGCTACAAGAAATCAATGTACATAATTTATATCATTTAAAACATTAAACCAAGAAACAAAAACCTTTTTGTTAAACTTACCCATGTTACACATGATTATTAACAGGATAACACAACTAAGCCATACGTACTGGTCAAATGGTAGCACGAATAAGTTTGAAACGTAGGTCAGTGGTGGTGCTCTTAAGATAAATTTAAGAGAATATGGACAACAAGGCACAGGAAAGTCGATGGTTTCTATCAGGTCCAGCGAGATAAAAAGTGAGTTACCTACAAAATATAATAGACAATGTAAGGTACAATTCTTATGTTCTGTATATATATATCCCTTTCAAGCCGCCCCTACACGATCGTGACATTTCATTTTAAAAATTCCAACGGGTTAGAAATTGATTGTTTTAGGGTTATAGCATGTACTAACGTGACGAAATGACTTTAGTTTACGTGAAGAGAAATGACTTTAGTTTACGTAATTTCAAGACAAAGATTCAAAATTCTACGAAGGGCATTTAATGTCGTAGATAGTGATTTAGCTTTGCCATTAAATTACTTTGGAAAGTACAACCAGTATTGTATCAAGTTACACTCTATCGATGAACAGATGATCCCATTTAACGGTACATGCCCTCGTGGATTGCGACAAGTTATCAAAACTAAGCCTAGGCGTCAAGGTTTTGAAAGCATTTGTAGCCACTACTCATGATGGGCTGATGATTGATTTCGAGATATACCAAGGTATAAGAACTTCATTAGGAGACAAGCCTTTAGTTGTCCGAGCATCAGTGGTCCTCCATCTTATAAAATCTATTCCAGGAACCTGCATTTACTTTGACCTCTATTTTGCTTCCGTACCACTATTGGAACATTTAAATGTAATGGTATTGCATGGTACATGTACGATAATGATGAACCGATTGTCAGAGCGGAATATTATGGATTTTAAAACAGATCGAGACATGAAACATGGTGAATGTCAACAGTTTGTACCATTTCACAACAATATAGTTGTTGTGAAATGGAAGGACAATAAGTCTGTTCGTATTTCATCAAATTGTACGTCTTCAGACGGAAATATTAACGTGAAACGCTGGGATAAACAGGGATCAAAATATATTGATGTTACTGCGCCTAAAGTGATTGCTAACTACAACAAATATAAGGGTGGGGTTGACATACTAGATCAATCATTGAAATGAATCAATGAAATGAAAGGCAAAAATTGTTTTTAAGAGAATGTTTGTAAAACTAACTACCTTTTCTTTTAAACTCTTTAAATTAATATAATTTGCATCTATTAATGCATTTTTATTATTTAATCAAAACCACTAACCTATTAAATACCCAGAAGTCATAATAGTGCACAAACACATTTTGATTCTGAACGCCACTTTCGTGCAGGATTAATATCTGCCCCATGGAGGGGGAAGTATTTTTTTTAAATATTTTTGGTAGCCTTAATGTAAGGTCCCTTTAACGGCACTAAGATTAGAAACTAATATTTTTACAAATAAGAAGTCAGGCCTGAAAGGGATATTTCAATACATTTAAATAATAGTGGCAAAAACAAATTGTAGGAATTATGTAATTGTAATGAAAAGATATGTTTATATCTGCTATATTTAACTTGGGTTGGTCCCCAGTATAGTGTATTATATTTTATATGACATCTGACAGTTTAACATAGATTATTGCCTGGTAGATCCGCTAGTCCACTTTCCAAATCTTCAATCATTCCGCTGCATTTATTGGAACCACTATCATGCGCCATTACTGGAGTAATATTAACCATTTCTGTGATAACTTTTAGCATGGCTGTAGTGACTTTCAACGGTGCATCCGAATGTGTTTCCCTAAAAAATAATAGAAAACAGATTAAACAACTTTGACCCATTCTTTTGCAAGCTTAATTGGGCGCAATTAATAATATCTACGTTAATTGTAAAATAAATTAGATGCCCTTTAAATTGGACATTCAAAAAAATGGGAATACTGATTTAGATCTGAAACGACCTGAAGGATATTGGAAATTCTATAGGTTCACTCACTTAAAATCGTCCAAATGATTATTTACATCAGCAAAAAATGCAGTACTCGATATTTTCATATCCATACCCATTAAGTTGGATCTATTTCTATATGTTAAGTAATTATACCATAAAAATCCATGTCTATGCTCCCATTCCGCTATCAAATCTTCCGTAAATTCTATAGAATAATCATTTAGTTTGTACAAAGACTTAATTGAACGCATATTTTTATTTTTCAGTTTGTGAATAGTAAATATTTTACTGTCAATTCTAAAATACATATTTTGCATATTTTGATAGTGGTCATGTCCCCAAAGAATCCATGTAAATGGGGAACGGAAAAGATTTTGTCGGTTAGCCTAAAATAAAATTACATATTATGTTTCTAAGTTAAAATGAAAACTATAATTTAATAAAGGAGATGAAAACAATGCTTAAAAACACTAAACACATCACTCAGACGTAAGATAGAAATAACTGGCAAGAAAATATATATATATAAAGATGTAGAGTTTAGGTGCACATGATTGTGTGGTTTAGATGAAAATGAATAGTCTATATCTAGAGAAAAAACTCCAAATCCCGCACTTTCCATTGTATCAGTTGAGCCATAAATATGTTCACTAAATTCGTAAGGTTGAATTCATTTTTTGCAATGTTTTCACTCAAAATTCCTATTGTTTAAAGTTGTAGTTCATAAGCTACTTTAAAGTGAAACATATGCAAGTGCCAGTACCATATTGGTCAAACAAATATAGCAATCGACTGCTAGGAAGAATCACCGCTGTTTATTTTCAGTATTCTCGAATTTTACCGCGAAATATTCTCAATACAATGTCGTATAGTCTTCTTCTCGTGCCACTCCTAGTGGAGATTGGAAATCATCATGGCCACTGCGACTTTGTTAGCAGCGCGCCTGAAAAGTTCAATCGAACTACACCCGAACCATTCACGTAGATTACGAAGCCACGATATTTTTCTTCTTCCAACACTTCTTTTGCCCTTAATTTTGCCCTGCATGATGTTTCTTAAAAGTTCGTACTTTTCACCTCTCACAATGTGCCCCAAGTATTCCATCTTTCTAGTTTTTATCTCATTAGAATTTCGCATCTTTTGTCTAAAGTTTGGAGTACTTGCGTGTTAGTGACGCGGTCCATCCATGATATTCTGAGAATGCGCCTATAGCACCACATCTCGAAAGCTTCGATGTTTTTTATGGCCAACTGTTTTAGTGTCCAAGCTTCAACTCCATATAACAGGGTAGAAAAGACATAACACCGTAGCATTCGTATTCGTAACTTTATATTGATATCACGCTTGCAAAAGAGTTTGCGCATTCTATTAAAGACTGAACTAGCGATTTCTATTCTACATCTAATCTCTTTTGTTTGATCAGTATCGTCTGTGATCCAAGCACCTAGATATTTATAACACGGCACACGCTCAATCGTTGTATTTTCTATTACAAGATTAGCTCTGATGTTCTTTGATTTCGTGATTACCATAAATTTAGTTTTTTTCAAATTAATTTTCAAGCCGTAACTGTTACAGTATATATTGAGACTTTGAACGAGATGTTGTAGTTCTACTAGCGTTCCCGTTAGGAGAACTGTATCGTCAGCATACCTTATATTGTTGATCGTCTCACCATTTATTATCAGACCAAGATCTTCTTCCTCGAGTGCTTGTTCACAGATAGCTTCACTATACAGATTAAATCAAAGTGGCGATAAGATACATCCCTGCCGGACTCCTCGACGGATTTGAATTTCTTCTGTTAGTCTGCCCTCAACCTTGACATTTGACGAAGATGACTTGATGAACCCTATTATGTCGTATAGTGATTGGTGTTAAAACCTCTGTTAAAACTGATCAGGATTGAGCAGTACGAGTATATGTATCTGTGCTGGTTCCTCCTAGCTGGCGCGAATCATATTACAAAAAAAAACTTTCAAAGAAAAAAAGATAATGATATCATAATTTATTATTAAAATATAATATTAGTATATATTAATATATGGTATACAGTCAACCACTGGGACTTTTCTCTTTTTTTTTTTGTAATTATATTACCTTTTGTAATAACATTTTAGAGTTGCTGCAGTTTAAATCTAGTAGAAATAGTTGATAAGTTGGTGGAAAAGTATAAGTCATACTGCTATTGTTAACTCCAATCTTACCCATCAAATTTTTAAAACCAAGCGATCTTCCAAGTTGCAGTTTTTCATCTAAAAACAAAAACATATTATGTACAACGATTATATAAAATAGTATATAAAGCTTTTGGTCTTTCCCACTTCCAATGTATGGGAGGTGTCATTCCAGATACTGTTTTAGTTCTATAAGAAAATTGTGGTAAATAATACATAAAACTAGGCATCCGAAACCACGCGCCGAATGGCCAAATGTAGCGGAAATCATGTGTCCATCATGAATCTTACAAACTTTTGAATTTGATCGTGGCTGGCGCATAAGAAAATATCTTTCCTTGTTGGTCACTTTACATTGCAACTAGTTTTGCCCAAATACAAGAACAAGACGAGACTTAGACGGTCTTGGTCCTGGTCTTGCGCCAATACACCTGGTCTTGGTCTTGGTCTTGGTATTGCACTCCCAGTCTTGGTCTTGGTCTTGGTCTTGCAGAAAGAGTCTTGCAAGTCTTGCAGTTTCCCATTAGCCTATTGGTATTTGTTAAACGTTACATTAGATCTTAGAACCACGCAACAGAGCAAGTACATTTTAAGCTTGAATTAACATAGCCATAATAAAGACCAACCTAATTAATAAATGGGAGAATACTCTCATTTTAGAGAATACTCTCATTCTCTCTCCTGTTACCGCCAAAGAAAGTAGCGTAGAACTATTTTAATTAATTTCAAACTGTTTGTCCTTGTTCTAGTGTAGTGTTTGTACAATTTTATGTTACCATCTATGTTTATTCCATTCTGCGCTTGCTGGATAGCCCATATTTGACGAAATGGCCCTGAAGATTCTATATTAAGCGAAAGTCCTTGGGCAAGAAACTTGTGCTCGATATAATTGCCTTAATTTTCAAAGTTCATTTATTCGAGCATTCAACCTCATATCAATTATTGTTTATTAGTTTATGGCCTAACGTCTAAAACATTTTCTGAACACCTTAATCCGGCACTACCCTGGGGTCTTATGGGATACCAGGGTGTCTTGTTCCGTAACGTATGGTAACGTATATGTCAAAAAAAATTTCCCCACCGTTGTCTGTCAGAATTCAATGGATACCTTCTTAGGCTCTTACTTCAAACTGGCAATACGACAATTAAAAAAAAAGATGTATGTACAGCTATTTTCTTTTATATCTTTCACGATTGGGTCTTCTATTCCCATATGAATTATAATGTCTTGATTGATTATTCTGTTTGTTCTGGATGTCCGTAGTGATCTTCTATATGAAATCTATTTTCATTATTTTGATCTTTTATATTTTTGTTCTTTTTTATTAGTCTCTTAAGTTTCTTATAATATACTGCTGTTGATCATAACCTTATACATGTTTAATTTTCATTTTCAATATCCCTGTACTATATAAAATATTGTTTGTAATATATTTATACTTGTATAATTAATTAATTTTCTTGTCATCGGTTGCAGTTTTATCAGATATTGCCCCGAGACACTCGTAGTCTTCGGCGGACTAATATGTTTTCATTATTTTTGATGACCCGATGAACCCTATTTTGTTCTAAAAGAATACATAAGTACTTGATCTTGACGAAATTGCCATTTATCCGCATCTTGAGTGTTCTTCGATAAAACCACGCATCATATACTTCATAATATTATGGTCCCTATCATTTGAAATTATTATAACCTGATCGTCCGCAAATTGGAGCGTAGGTAGGTGGGCAGGCAGGTAATGTTTTCCTTGACATCGATTATAATATCGACTTTCCTCTTTCAATCTTTAACCCTTTGTATCCCAGTAGTATCGCTGTGAAACTACCTATAAATGAATTTTTACTGGATGTCCCAAAGGTTTCACGGTAAACCTACCTGTATAATGTGCTGCCTATAACCATTCTCGTGTACATTCTCGCGTTTTTTTTAGTTGGCGATGCAAAAAGAATTCTTCAAGATGCAATGCTGTGGCGATGCGTCGATCATCAAAAAATTACAGAGAGGTTGATGCATAAATTTGGTTTTATTGTAAGAAATTGGATTTTTGAAAATTAACTATTTATTATAAAAAAGAATTTTTGAAATGTTCCCGTAGAGGGATTAAGACAAAGACAATGAATCGGGGATCTTTGACCGAATGTTACATTAGTTATCAAACGGGACTAATTGAATGTATAATTTCGACATAAATAGCATTTAATTTAAATAATAGAGCAGATCCAGACAGGAGAAAAAACTAGACAGTAATTAAAAAGAATTCATTGGATATTATTACGCCCAAATTTTTAAACAATGTTTATGGATATTTTATCATGGAGAATTATTTGTTAAAGCAATCTTACCTTCTGACCAACAAATGTATGCTGTATATTTAAAAGGATACTTTAATTTGACAACTAGATCCGTTATTAACTCTATCATTTCCGTATTAAGTTGATAAGATAATTGAAAATATATTGTTAATATAAACAAAGAACTTTTTAGTTGCATTTTTCTGTGCTTTAAGAACTTTCAGCCCAGTTTGCATCTATAACAGTTAAATAAGGAGTAAATAATCATAAACTATTTAAAACACTAAAACATAAATCCTTTATAATGTCCTTTCTCACAGGATTGTAGCAAGGGGTTGTAGTATCTGAATAAACCGTAGTGAGTGTTTAATTCTTTCGACTGTAAACAATCTTTGTATCCTTGTATCTGTGATAAAATCAATATTTTTATCTTCACGTAAAAAGGAAGATAAAAACATCAATATGTGTCATTGGGTCCAAAATAGCTTTATATAGAAGTAAAATAATAACGCAAAAGGAAATAGGAAAGACTAAAATAATTTATGCAAAATAAGAATAGCCAAAATGTTGTTAAAATAAAATAATAACAAACGCATTGTTTTATAGAGTAATTTAAGAGAAATTTTAATAAATCATCAATAAAATATAGTTGTTGAATTCTTATTGAATTTTCAAGCCTCCTCTGATAATATTACGTTTCAAATGATCCCCTATTAAGTCAAAATGCTCCTAGAAAAGCCACAAGAAAATTATATAGTACTTGTTTGGTATTTCTGCAGATTTATTGTCATAATTAGATGTTTCTTATAGTTAATAATTCGTTAGGATTTATAAATAAATAGCATGCTTTAAATAAGCTCCAAGAATTGTGGTATGTAATTTGATAAGTAGCTGAGAATAAATAAAATAAATAT